CCGGCGCCCACCGTGCCGCGCTGGAAGCGCCGCAGGAAGCGGCGGAAGACGCGGCGGAGCCGCAGCCGCGTCACCGGGCCCTGCCCGCGCAGCTGCCGCTGGAAGGAGCGCGGGAGGCACTCCTTGAAGCTGCTCCAGGCAGGGGGAAGAACGGGGAACGAGCCGTTTGGGATGAGCTTTGTTGGGACTCGGCCCCCCCGTGGGGGGTCCAGAGCGTTTCCCAATGTTCCCATCCCAATCCCGAGCACAATTCCAGTCCGTTCCTGTCCCAATCCCACACAGCATTCCCATCCATTCCCATCCCAATCCCACACAACATCCCACTCCATTCCCATCCCAATCCCACACAACATCCCACTCCATTCCCATCCCAATCCCACACAGCATTCCCATCCATTCCCATCCCAATCCCACACAGCATCCCGGTCCATTCCCATCCCAATCCTGAGCAGAATTCCCATCCCATCCCTAATTTTTGCTGCCGGGCTTTTCCCGGGGCTCCCCGGGGCATCCCAAATTCCGACCCCGCAGGCGCTTCCCGTGAGGAAAAAGGGCGGGAAAAAACCCTTTGGAAAAGCAGGAATTGCCATCCCACCTGTGCTTCCGGGCCACTTCCTCCAGGGAAATGCCCTTGGTGACGGCGATGTGGGACAGGTGAAGGACGGCCATTCCCAAACTCTCGTTCTTGAACCTCTGGATTTCGGGCTCGCTCCGCAGATCCTTCAGGGAGGCCACGTCGTGGATGAACTCGAACTTGCCCTGGGGAAAAACGGGATAATTGGAGGGAGGGGGGGAAAAAAAAAACGACACATCCCTGAGCTGATTTCCCACTCAGGGATTTTCCGTTAATTCTCTCCTTTATCCAGTTAAATTAATTTAATTATTAAGATAATTTCCCTTTCGCATCCCTTTAAAATTAAAGGTGGGACAAACACGAGTTAAAAAAAAAGGTAATTTTAAATTTCACTAAAACCCAACTCGAGTTAAAACCCCTTTCCAAATTATTCCTAAATAAAGAATTCCGGAATCCCGCCCAGCGAGGCTTCCAGCAGGGATAAAACCTCCCCAAAGGGAAAACTGGGGGGGTGTTTATCCTTTAAAGAAACACCTGGAGGTGAAAAACTGTGAATCCTGGCAACAGAACTGAGCCAAATCCGGAGGGATTTACGGGAATTCATCCCAGTTTTCCCAAACCCCTCTGGATTTAAGGGAGTCCATCCCGTTTTTTTTTCCCAGATCCAGCCCCGTTACCTGCTCAAACAGGTACTCAAAGGAGGATTTGTCCAGCAAAGCTCCCCTGGGGTTTTTTTCCTCCAGGGAATCCCCGGGACGAGGCACATTCCGATAAACCGCCGGCTCCTGCTCGTTCATCCCGTGCCAGTTCCGGAAATAATACCTGGAATGGGAAGGGGAGGAGGGGGAGAGGGGCAGGGGCTGGGTCAGCAGGAACAACCCGAGCGGCCACATCCCTGAAGGATGTTCTGGGGAGGAAACTCTGGGATTGGTGGCTCCAAAATTCCCAAGGAATACAAATATCTACTGAAAGCTTCCCCAGGGTCACTCCAGAGCCCTCGGATGTTCCCTGCTGGTCCCCAAAAACCTTTGGATGGGACGCTGGGAGGCGGGAGAACGAACCAGGAGCCCCAGGGAGAAACGCTGGGAATAAGGAGAGGGATTTTTCCGTGCTGGAGGAGAGCCAGGGGCTCCAAACCCACAACATTCCCCACCCGGAGCAGCCCTGCCGGCTTTTCCCAAGGCTGTTCCCTCATTTTTCACCCCCTACAAATGGGATTTGGGCCAGCCCTGAGCAGATTTCCAAGGCTCCAAATGCAGAACCAGATCTGGGATTGGGGATTTGGGATTTGGAGCAGCCCTGGACGTGGATAAGCTTGGAAAAAACCACAAAGAGGTGGGAAAACCCAGCCCAGGCAGTCCTTTCAGCACAGCCCCACGGCAAAAAAACTGGGAATAGGTGGGCAGGGCTGAGCTCTGGAAAATTCCCAAGGGGACGGGAGGGAGGGAGGGAGGGAAGAGGCCCCTCACCTCATCCTGAAGATCAGGTGGACGTTGGTGTCTTTTCCCACCTGGAATTGGTGGTTGGGGGGGAGCCACAGCCGGGCCTGGGGGTCGTAGAGGGCGAAGAGGCTGAAACAGAGCGGGCTGATTCCTGCCAGGACACAATTCCAGGGAATTCACCAACAGCACCCCTTTCCTAACCCCCTTTTCCCCCTTTTCCCCTCCCGGCAGCACAAATCCGGACGGTTCTCCACGCCCTCGGAATTCCGGCGGCGCTCCGGAACGGCTCAATCCCAAAATTCAGGCTGGGATTTATGGGGGTCCCAGAGCCATTCCCAGTTGGAATTCAGTCTGTCCCCCAATCCCTGGGAGGTTTTCATCCCTCAGGGGGAAGGCTGAACGGGAAAATCGCGTTTCCCGTGGGAATTCGGCGCAGCTGGAGCGGGGATTTATCGGGAATAAACCCCCCTGAGCTTTGGGTTCTCGGCCTTGAGGGGGGGAAAACACCGGGATTCAGCATTCCCTGGGAATCAGAACACCCGGAATCCCTCAGCCCCAGGGTGGAAAACACCAGGATTCAGTATTCCCTGGGAATCAGAACACCGGGAATTCCTCAGCCCCAGGGTGGAAAACACCGGGATTCAGCATTCCCTGGGAATCAGAACACCCGGAATCCCTCAGCCCCGGGGTGGAAAACACCGGGATTCAGCATTCCCTGGGAATCAGAACACCGGGAATTCCTCAGCCCCGGGGTGGAATCTGGTTGGGATTGGGCGTTTCCCCAGGAACTGGGAAACTGGGAATTTCTCCGCCCTGGGATGGGATCTGGTCGGGATTTAGCGTTCCCTGGGGATCGGGAAACCGGGAATTCCTCAGCCCTGGCTTGGCCGGGATTTGGCGCTTCCCGGGGAACCGGGAATTCCTTAGGCCTGGGAGTGGAAGCCGGTTGGGATTCAGCATTCCCCGGAAATCAGAAAGGCGGGAACTCCGCGTGGGAATCCGTGCCGGGCGGCGCTCACCGATGGCGCGGGCGAGGTCGATGCAGATTTCCTCGGCGCTCAGGGATCCCTGGGAATACACCCGGCAGCGTTCCCGCTCCTGCTGCCCGTCCCAGTGCAGGAACACCTTGAGGCCGGGCCCGGCCGGGAAGGAACAGCCCTCGGCATCTCCCGGGCTCCGCTTCATCCCCCGCCGGCACAGGGACATGGCCGCGCCTTCCGGGGGGGAAAAAAACGGGATAATCCATCGGGAAAGGGACAGGGAGAGACTCCCAGATGGGGAGAGCCCACCGGGCCATCCCAGTCCCTCACTGGGATGGGAGGGAGAGAATTCGGGATCAGCGGGAATGTCGGATCCCGCCCGGTTTGTCGATGATGATGGAAAAAGGACGGACGGGTTGGGAAAGGAAAGAACCCGTGGAGCAGATTCCAGAGGGGGCTTTTTGGGAGGGGGAAGAAGGGTGGGTGTTTGGACTCGTTTCAGGGATGGATTTTGGAGCCGCTTGCGGGTGGGTTTGGGTTCATTCCCAGGTGGATTTTGAGCCGTTTCTGGGTGGATTCTGGACCACCTTCAGGTTGGAATTTTGGCCCATTTCGGGATGGAGTTTGGAGCCGTTTTGGGATGGATTTGGAGCCGTTTTGGGATGGAGTTTGGACCTGTTTTAAGGCGGATTTTTGACCCCTTTCTGGGACAGATTTTGGACCTGTTTCAGGTTGGAATTTTGATCCCTTCCAGGATGGATTTTCCAGGTGGGTTTTGGCCCATTTCCAGACGGATTTTGACCCATTTCAGGGTGGATTTGGGGGGCTTTCACCCCTTTCGGGGTCTCAGGATGGATTTTGACCCATTTTGAGATGAACATGGATTGATTTTGGGGATGGAATTTTGGACCCGTTTCTTACGGAATTCTGACCAATCACAGGACGGATTTTGAGTCATTTCAGGACAGATTTTTGACCCGTTCTGGGGTGAATTTTGGACCCACTTTGGGGTGGATTTTGACCCGTTCTGGGGTGAATTTTGGACCCACTTTGGGGTGGATTTTGACCCGTTTTGGGGTGAATTTTGACCCGCTTCCAGGTGAATTTTTGGACCCGTTTTAGGCTGAATTTTTCCACCTGTTTCACGGTGGGGCTTGACCCGTTTTGGGACGAATTTTAACCCATTTTTGGGGAGTGGAGTCCAGCCCGTTTCAGGTTCTCCGATGGGGTTTCCTCCCAGCCCTCCCCCCCCCTCCGAATTCCTCTTCACCCCCCGTTGGTACCGACCCTGTCCCCTCATGTCCCCCCTGTCCCCCCCTGTCCCTCCATGTCCCCTCCATCCCCCCCGTCCCCCCCAATGGTACCGACCCCCCCCTTTCCCCCCGGTTGGTACCGGCCCCGGCCCGGCCGCCGCTCCGTCCCCCCTCGCCCCGCAGCGCCGCCGCCTCCCATTGGCCGCCAGAGACGCGCGCTGCCATTGGTCCGCGCAGCGCCGCGAGGCCACGCCCCACCCGGAAAACAGAACCCGATTGGCTGCGGGGAGGAAAAGGGGCGGGGACTCGGAGGGCGAAGCCTCAGGGGGAACGGGGCGGTGC